GCGGCTGCTCCAGCAAGCAGGACTTACTGGGATGAGCGGTGGGAGCAATCCCAGCAATACCAAACCCCTTACAAAAAGGATGGAGGGCGCAGAGTCAGGAACGTGAAACCTGCAGGCGCAAAAGGTCCAGACACCGAGCACGGGGTAGCACTGGGATGGGCACGGGGTGGTGCTGGGGGAACCAGAGGGAGAGGGCAGGCAGCCCCCATGAGCTGCCCAGCCTCAGCACCCCAGAGATGCCCCTGCGACAGCTCCAGCTTCCCCGGGTGCCGCAGCAGCACCCCACGGCCAGGAGGCACCGAGCTCACACCCAAGGGTGTGGGATGCAGGACAGCTCAGCCCTGTCCTGCCACGGGGACCACGAGCTGCAAGAGGAGAATGTCTGAGACTGACCCCGGTGGCATCTCCCCTTCCTGCAGCCAGGGAAAGTCAGCTGGGGGATTTCCACCGGGAATGTCTGGATTTCCCAAATCCACTCCCTCAGACCGCGGGACTCACCACGGCTGCTGCGCACTCGCCGCCTGCAAGAAGGAAGACCCCTCGTTCTGGGCAGACCCCAAGAACCAAGGCTGGTTGCTAGAAAACAGCCCCTGGGAAGGGAGTCCCAAAGGATTTTGGACGTGATTTGGAGCAAGCATCCATGCCAACCGTTCCCAACTCATGGGGGGAAACCATCTTGAAGGATGAAGCTCCACGGGGAGACCAGTCTGGCCACGGAGGCTCAGCACCCACCGAGGCTCAGCACCCACCGCTCAGCCTCGGAGCTGGCTCCCACCATCCGGCAAAGGAGGGAAGGAGCCAGCGAGAAGCCGGGGGAATCACCCTGCTGCTGCTGCCAGGCGTTTCCTTTTAAAGCCAGAGCAAGAAGTGGTTACAGCCCGTTTCCTCCAGCGCTGACCACTAACTCGCTGCTCTCCTCCTCTCTGCTGGGGCCAGGAGCACTGATCCCACATGGGACAACACCAGGGCGGGGGAAAGGCAGCTGGGCCATGGTGTGCCAGCACCACAGGGGGACCTTGGGGCAAGGGGGTGACAGGTCCGTCACCTGAACGCCCGTCTGTGCCCTCTCTCACATCCACGTCATCTTCTCTGCGCTCACTTAGTTCCTTTTCTAACCTTACCCGTCATCCTGCTGCTGCTCTTGGTCCCTTCCTTCCTTCTTTATCCATCCAGCCCCGATAAGCGCCCTTTGCCAGCTCGAAACCACAGCTGCACGCTCAGGGCGTGCTTCCTGCGGCGAGGGGCCGCCTGGCCAGTCCCAGGCAGCATCTTCCCCATTTTGACCTCCGAGGGTCCCGTCGGAGGGTCCCTGTTCCGGATCGAGGCAGCCGAGGGATGCTCGCCCGCAGCCCTAGGGAGGAGGCCCCCAGGAGGTCCCCAGAAGGACCGACCTGTCCCTCGCAGGTTTTAACCAACAAGAAATGGGGCTTTTCCTCCCGCGCTGCCTGCCCAGCCCGTATCCACGTCTTCCCCCAAGCGCTGCGTTTCCAGATTGCTGCCTGCCGGGATGAAAGCTGGGCTAAATGGGGAAACTGAGCCTCTTTTCTATCCTCAGCAAGAGCTGAAGCTCAGGTCACAACACCCTGGCTCTTGCACCCGACCTACACACGTGGAAAATCACCCCAAAGCCACAAACGGGAGCAAGGTGTGACCTCCCACAGCCAAGGTAAGCAAGCCAGCTGCTGCTTGGCATGAAGCAAGGCACAAGACCCAGGCAGCATCGGGTCCCACGGGCTCCTGGCCACGTAGGTACGTGCCTATAGCGCCCACCACCCCACGGGACCCCCAAACATCCAGGGACTGCCCGCAAGTCCCTTCCTCTTGCATAGGCGGAGGGCGCAGGGACGAGCGGGACGTCGCCGGCTGGGTTGGAGCATCCCTCCTGGCTCTTCCCCTTCTTCAAATGCAGCTGTGGGTGAGTAATGCCAGAGCACTCCCTGCTCCAGCACCCAGCCTTCGCCCCCGGGGCCGTGCCAGCAGCAGTCCACCCACAGCTTCCCTCCCCGATGCTGCGACCGTGGGGAACACGGCGCGTTTCAAGTAAAAGGCGGCTTTTGCCAAACCCCCGCGGCTCAGAAAAACCCATCCGAGCGCCTCCACCCTTCGCTCTGCTTTTGGTATTTTCAGGGAAATGCTTGCAAAGCCCCCGGCAAAGCTTCGAGGTGGTGAAAGAGCAGAATCCAAGGGAAAGGGAGGAAAGCCTGGTGCCTGCTGAGCCCAGCCTGGATTTTGGGGAGCAAGAGGAATAACTCGGATGGAGCAGGGGGCGCAGCGACCCCCGCGTCACGGTCTGTGCTGGGACGCAACCAGAGTGTGGGAAGGGTTGGGGAGAGCTGGCCCAGCCAGGGGAAGCCCCGGAGGGAATCTCCAGTGCTGTGGGTGTTTTGTAATCCCTCGGACCATCTTCTGCCCCCGCTGCAGGAGCGTTTTTGCAAGCCGGGGTGATAACGGGACAGGGCTGCGTCCCACGTGGCACAGCACTTGCCCGCTCCCTCCGGCACCCCAGGGAAGGGAACTCGGCAGCGGGGAAGGGGCTGACACTTGAGGCAATGTCACATGCTGTCCCTGCCCCTCTCCTGGGAGGAGAGAAATCCCCTTGAAGGGCTCACGGACCGAGGGACCCCTGGGGCCCCGCCGCTGTTTGCCACAGGGCCGTTGCACCACGTTTGTGGCGACAGCGGATGGAGGGGCTTCGCCTCCAGGGATGGAACTGAGTTTAGGGGTGACTTGGGCCGCGAGATGCCTTGTATACAGCGAGCTGTGGGTTACTCTCTCCTTGCAGAGGGCCAGCTGTGGCCCCTGTGCCCTCCCGGGGCAGTTTTGGACCCCAGTCCTTTGCTGTGGAGCCCAGGGCCGGGCAGAGGAGCAGAGTCCGGTGTGGGAGGCTGGAGGGCAGCCGGGGAGCTGGGTGCAAGCTGGGCTTTTAAAGGTCTTTCCCTTTGCTTTCTGGGTCAAAAGTGCAGCTCTGATGTGTGCAGCTAGTGCTCTCCCGAGTAAACATGGCACTGCCGCTCCCAGCCGCCGGCAGCCAGCTCGGCTCAGTTAAAGCATCATCCCTCCCTTGCACGGGACGGGAACCCACCCAGCCAGGGCTTCTGCTCTCCTAAAACCTACTCCTCCACACCATTTTTGGGGAGGAAAGAGGAGAATTTCTCCTCCAACACTTGCTCCTGGCCGTTGCCCGCCTCTAAAAGCTGTCAGAGGAAGCCCAGCCAGATCCAAGCACGCCCAGACATCCCCAAGCTGCTCACAAGAGCTGTCCTCCCTCTCCCCCCTTTCTGCCTCCGGCTCCCGCTCTATTCCCAGGAACTGGCCCAGCGCCCTTACTGGGGCTCCCGGGGAACTTACTGCTTGCCCATTCCTCCCGCTGTGTCCTCGCTGACCTCTCGAGAAAAGCACTGGGGGTTTTAAAGAGCTTTTTTTAAGTGCGCTCGCATAACGTCTGGGCAATTC